TGGAATAAAGATGGATATATAAAAAAATAGAATAGATGGAAAACAAGAAATAAACACTTATATATATGGTCAAATGACTTTTATTTTTTAACTTTTTTTTTTTTTTTTGAGACACGGTCTCACTCTGTTGCCTAGGCAGGAGTGCAGTGACACAATCTTGGCTAACTGCAACCTCCACCTCCCAGGTCAGGGAATACATCCATCTCAGCCTCTCCAGTTGCTGGCCACCAGAGTGGCCAGCAAAAACGATTGGCAAAGATTTAGACAAATTGAAAGCCATGTGCACTGTTGGTGGGAAAATAAAATGGTACAGCCCCTGTAGAAAGCAGTATGGCAGCTCTTCAAAAAGCAAAAACAGAATTACCATATCATCCAGTCATTTCACTTCCAGATATATACCCACAATAATTTAAAGTAGAATCTTGAAACATTATTAGTACAATCATATTCACAGTAGCACTATACACAATAACTAAAGCATGGAAACAACACAAGTATCCATGGACAGATGGATGGATAAGCAAAATGTTGTATACACATACAGTGGAATGTTAACTCCTTTTCAGTAAAAAGGATTCTTTTACATATGTTACAACATGAATGAACTTTGAGGATATTATGCTAACTGAAATAAGCTAGTCATCAAAGTTCACATACTGTATTATTTCACTTTATTAATGCACATAGAGTTGTCAAAAGTTATAGAGACAAAATGTAGAGTGGTGATTGCCAGTGTTGGAAGGGGAAGGGGAGTTATTGTCTAATAGGTATAGAGTTTCAGTTTTATGAGATGAAGAGTTCTGGAGAAGGATGGTGGTAATGGTGCATAATAATGTGATTGCACTAAATACCAGTGAACTGTACTTTCAAAATAATTAGGATAGTAAATTTTATTTTATGTATATTTTATCACACAAAAATTTAAAAACATTTTACCTAAAAATTCAAATTTTCAAGCATAGCCAAGAAAATTTGAAAAAAAGAAGAAAGCTAGAGGTACCACCAGATCATGATTTTAAAGCTATAATAATTAAAGAATGAGATACTCCTGAAAAGAAAGAAATAGATCAATGGAAGAAGATACAGAGTTCAGAAGCAGACTTTATATATACTTTAACATGTTTTATGAGAACAGTGATGCTGCAATATATTAGAAAGAAGGTAATTATTTCATAATAACCTGCGCTGATTGTTTTCTGTATGGGGACAAAAATATATCAAATCCCAATCTCACACTATACACAAAAATAAATTCCAAATAGATTGTGTATTAAGTACAACCTTTACATAATAAAGCTTTCAGTAAACAAGTAGAAACATATTTTCCTGAGTCCTTGAGAAGGCAGATTTCTTAAAATCAACAAGATGTTGTAAATATAATTTTTTAAATTGCTAAATTAATCTATTTCATAATTTACAACTTCCACTCATCAAATGTCAAAAAAGAATTTATCATAATTTACAACTTTTACTTACCAAATGTCAACAAAGAGAGAATTGGGGATGGTTTCTTCCCCAATCACACTTTTTGAGAAGGGAACAAATAAAGGATTCCTGCAAATTTTTAAGACAAATGTAGATAATACAATAGAAAAGTTGGCAAAGACTTTTACAGACAATTCCTGAAATGATATTCAAGTGCCCATATTAACATATCAAATGGATGCTCAACCTCATTAACCATTTTAGAAATGAAAGTTAAAGTTATATAGAAATACTGATGTAAATCAACTAGAATCACTAAACTGTGAAACATGAAACAGCTCAAGTATCATTGCAAATGTACAGCAGCTGGTACATATTTTTTTTAAACTCTTAGCATCTGCTAAAATTGAACAGAGTCCATTATTAAAAATTTCTCCTATAAGGTATGGTACCAACAAAATGTATTCACATTTTCAGTAAAAAACATGTATCAAAATGTGCATAGAAGCCAAATCTGAAAGTTGTATACCTCTCTGTATTCATATTATTCAATAATAAATAAAATTCTCTAGTGAAACCCCAAAATGTTCCAACTGATATATACATCTTGCATGGGTCTTACTTTTCTCACCTTCTCTTAATCCTTTAGACACTTCTGCTGTCTTTTCCTTTCCCCATCTTATTATTCCATGTTCATGGAATTCTATGCTCTAGCAATGGTGAATTTCCTAATGAATTATGCTATAGTATTTACTAAGGTACATTTATAGGCTCAACTTTTCCTTTTACTCTTCACACTTCCATTCCACCTTATTTTTCTAACTACTGACTTCCAAATTTGTCAATGATCTTATTCTTTTAACCTGCACTTTTCTGACAAATTTTCCTTCATATCTTTTTACACTGCCTCACCCAAAAATGAGCATGCACTGTTCTTCTGCTTATCTCTGTCACCTTTTGTACATAAATATCACAACACTCATCATGGCTTAGTGTCTCATTTATGTGTACAAGTATTTTCTATCAAAACATAAATTCATTGAAGGAATGTTGGGGAAAGTATTCACAGACACTTGTATTTATTTTTGGACCACCAGTCCATTGTCCGATAGCTGTTAAAATTAGTTACCAAAGAGATATTTGCTCAATGAGCGAGTGAATTATTAAAATATGCATTTTCTTAACTAAGAAATAGAATTGGCTGTTTCAATATAACTTTTAATCTGTCTAGGAAATGCATGATTTTCTTTTCTTTTCTTTCTTTCTTTCTTTTTTTCTTTTTTTTGGAAATGGAATTTCACTCTGTCTCGCAGACTGGAGTGCAATTGCACGATCTTGGTTCATGCAACCCCTGCCTTCTGGATTCAAGCGATTCTACTGCCTCAGCCTCCCAAATAGCTGGTATAATAGGCCCATGTGCCCCTCACCTGGTTAATTTCTGTACTTTTTTAGTAGAGAAGGGTTTCACCATGTTGGCCAGGCTGGTCTCGAACTCCTGACCTCAGATGATCCACCCAATTCAACCTTCCAAAGTCCTGGGATTACAGGCATGAGCCACTGTGCCTGATGAGAAATGCATGAATCTTAACCTTTGATTCAAAACAATATATGATCCAGAATTAAATTAGAACAAAAATTTCAATATGCTGCTCAGAGACTCCTGGGGATCTGTAAGGTTAAAGCCATTCTCATGATAATATTAAGACATCATTGGCTTTTTTATTCTCATTATTTCACAAGTAGAGCTTTCTAGACTGTGTACTTCCTGAGATTTGTAAAAATGTGAAATAATGCCAGTTGTATCCTTGATATTTCCGTTCTTAAAAATATACTAATTTTATGAATCTATATTATTTAGATCATTTAGACTTATATGTAATAGACTTATTCTTCTTATATTTAATTGAATTAACTTTTAAAAATTGATCTATTTTATAATTTATTAAAACTGTTTTAATTTCAATGGAGAAAATATTGATAAAAATTCACAAAAACTAACGTAGAATCTTCAATGAAAGCGTAATAAAGTTCTTACATTGCTAATCTAGAAAATTCAATTAACACTAGGGTTCTGATTTGATCTACTTATTTCAAGAATATGAAGTTTAGTGATAATTTGCTGTAAATATATCCATCGTGTTACCAGGAAGGAAAAAGGTATATAATTTCCTGGGGAGGTATTTACTTAAAAATAATAATTTTTTAAAAATACTACTGAACAAAATAATACTTTCAAACACAAAGAAACATGGGAGCAAGTTTACATTATCCTTTAGAATGTGCATTTACAGCTATATAATACAAAACGCAAAAGGTATACACTTTCCTGGGGAGATATTTACTTTAAAATAATAATTTTTAAAAAATACTACTGAACAAAATAATACTTTCAAACACAAAGAAACATCGGAACAAGTTTACATTATTCTTTAGAACGTGCACTTATAGCTAAATAATACAAAATAATTTTGTCTTCTATTTTTCTCTAATTTTGTTGATAATTTGAATGTGCATAAGAACAATATTGGTTTTGCTTTTTTATACATGAGCTGCTCTAAAGTATGCTGAAGGTATGTTTTATGTACTACATGCATGGAAATTGTCATTTTCTGTCTTTCAAGTTAACTGTGCTATATCTGTAAAGTTTTTTGAACTTTCATGTGTAAGTAATTTTCTATTCTGTTAAATATAGAATAATTTATTTCACAGTTCTGTTTACACACAATAATACAAACTGACCATTATTTTCTGACTATTTTAAGAATTACCCAATTCAATATTAGTTATTCCTGTTTCAACGATTACTAGCTTTTCCATTCTATAATCATAAACTGCAGTGCACTTTAATTTAATATTAATTCTAGCCCAAGGTGAATAATACAATCTCATTTTTAGAGTTATGTTTTAAATAATTATATTATTGTAAACCACAACTTGTGTTCATACATTAATGCTGAACATTCTAGTAATTTCATATGTTTTACTACTTTATCATAAATTTGGAGAAAAATTATCTTTATTAAATTTTATACTTTCCAGTACACTCTTTAGTTTAAGTAGCATAACAGCTTATTTCCCTTTAACATTCATATAGTAGAATTGAATTTTAAAATTATTCAGGTTTCAGAGATAGAGAAAGAATAGATACAGAAGAAATTATAAAAATTTGTTGAACATTGAATTTTGTGTTGTTGTTTTCAAACTCTTTTTAGATTTAATCAAAATATTTCTAAAGTATATCAAATTAGGAATAATGATACAATGAATTTAACATGTTCTTTCCCCAACTTAACCTTTACGAAAATTTTGCCACATTATCTTCCATTATTTTCTTTGTCTTTTTTTCTTTGTTGGAGTTTGTACAGTCAGAACTTAAAAATTTTTAATGCTCATAAAAATTACTTGAGGATTCTCTTAGAATGAAAATTATGATTCAATATATCTGTGGTGGATATTGAGATTCTGCATTTCTAATAAGTCTACAAATGAGGCTGATACTACTGGTCTAAAAACCAAACTTTAGCATATTTATAAAGCATACATCAGGTAATAGGCTTTGTCACCTCTACCTAGTTCACTATGCATCTCTAAAAATGTAGACATTTTCTTACACAATCATGTGCTATTAACATACTAGTAAACTAACACAGAAACAGAAAACCAAATACTGCATATTCTCACTTATAAGTGGGAGCTTACTGATGGGAACACATGGATACAGAGGGGAAAAACACACACCAGAGCCTTTCAGAGGGTTTAGGGTAGGAGGAGAGAGATGATCAGGAAAAATAACTAATTGGTACCTGAGTGACAAAACAATCTGTACAACAAACCCTAATGACACAAGTTTACCTAGGTAAGAAACCTGGATTTGTACCCCGAACTTAAAATGGAAGTTTTTAAAACCCTAAAAATAATTTCTTAGTATCATCTAATTCCAAGCCCATAATCATATTCACCCAATTATCTTAATAATTTAGTTTCCTCAATTTGTTCAAACTAAACTTAGGACAACACAACACACAATTTGTTTTACCTCTTGAATTTTTCTTGATATAGGGCAGTCTCTCCATTGATTTTTACCTAATTATGAAATCCCCCGATTGATGACAGTCATCCTGTGGAATAGAACCCATACAAGTTTCTCCGTTAGCTTCATTTTCGTGTCCACCAGTTTGTCCTTCTATACCCACTCAGACTTAAGACAAAAGAGAGAAAATACATTTCCCTGCTCCTTCTTTATCCTGGTATGTATCTTTCTCTAGTTCATTTTTTTAGTGTAATAACAGTTTTTTGTGGGTTCTCATTTCCAAATCCTTGCACATGTAACCCTAGGCCATATCTTCTGTCCCTGCCTGAGGCTTCAGCATCTTGAAGTCTGCAAGTGTTCACAGGTCAGAAGTGGCTGCATTTACCACAGAATGAATTGCTCTTGGACCTCTATCTATGGATAAAATTATTCTCTATATTTTTAAATTTATATTGAACATAAGTCAAAACATATATTAAAATAAAGGGGGAAAATATATAATATAATAAACTTCAAAATACCCATCACTGAACTACAAAAATGATTAATTTCCCAACCAATCTCAGTTGTACCTATAGCCATACTGACCATCCAAAAATTATGTTGCATCAAATCCCAGATATGTCATTTCATCTCCACTTTATTATGTAAATAAAAGGTAAGGCATTTTTGTTTAAGAATATTCAAAGCGTTGTTTTTATCTAAAATTTATAATCATCTCTTAATAGTATCAAAAGTTTATTCACATTTTACCAATTGTCCTAATTCTCAAATAAGATTTTATTCAGAATACAAATAAGTTTTATATTTTTCAATTGCTTGATATCCTGGCATTTCCCTTTAAATCTCAGTCATGTCGTTCTCTCCTCTCTTTGATTTTATGTTATTTTTATGCTTAAAAACCAATATGTTTGCTCTGTATATTTTCCCATGCTATAGTTTTTGCCAATGGCAACCTCATGGTGTTATTTACCATTTTTTTCTGCCCCTGTATATCTTCTAAATTGGTAGTTAAGTGGATAGATATAGAGGTCTTATCATATTCATATTTGCTACATTTGGTGGCTGGAAAAATAAATTCATAGTGGTGGTATTTTCATGACTTCTATTATCAACTTTATGTTCAAAGGTACAGTGCTTGTACAAAGTGTGAAAAAATGCTTGATTATTCTCACTTCTTCCTCCTCTCTCTCTTTTTTTTCCTTTTACCCATTTTCAAAGTAATGAGTTAATTCCCTATTTTCTTCTAAAGGTGACCAACCAGGATTTTGTTGCTCTTACTGTTTCTTTTTCTTTCTTTTTTTTTTTTTTTTTACTATACTTTAAGTTCTGGGGTATATGTACAGATCATGCAGGATTGTTAGGTATACACAAGCCATGGTGGTTTGCTGTCTCCATCCCCACTTCATCTACATTAGATATTTCTCCTAATGTTATCCCTCCCCAATACCCCCACCCCCTGCTATCCCTCCCCTAGCTCTCCCGCTCCCCAACAGACCCCTGTGTGTGATATTCCCCTCCCTGTGTCCATGTGTTCTCATTGTTCAACACTCACTTATGAGTGAGAACATGTGGTTTTCTCTTCTTGTGTCAGTTTGCTGAGAATGATGTTTCTGGCTTCATCCATGCCCCTGCAAAGGACATAAACTCATCCTTTTTTATGGCTGCATAGTATTCCCTGGTATATATGTGCCACATTTTCTTTATCCAGTCTATCATTGATGGGCATTTGGGTTGGTTGAAAGTCTTTGCTATCATAAACAGTGCCACAATAAACATACATGAGTCTTTATCATAGAATGAATAGCAATAACACACTCAATGAATTTAAACAAATGTGATGTTTCCCTCTAATGCATTCATTCATTTATTTTAGAATTATTGTTCCATATTGATGCATTTATTTTTAATGATACTTAAATTGTGCTTTGTCTATTATCAATCTATAGAAATTAGCTTTTTGAATCTTCTTGACAAAATTACAGTAGTAATTTTATATGGATTCCTTACTTTGTTGTACTAACAAGAAAAGCAAGCTGCATCTTTAGGGAAAACACTGTATGAAATAATTTGTTTTTTTATTTCTATATTTTTGCATGCCATGGGGTGATGTGGAAAGTATGTTTAAGTAATTGTATTCAATAAAAGAAACAAAAGAAAAAATGATGTTGTATGTTTAATTTATCATCACTTTACATGAGATTCTTTCTGGCAATTGCTTTTGGATACCAGCTTGCGGTTTTTCTGTCCAATAATATGCTCATGTTTCACTGATGAGCTGTATATCAAATTCCCATTTCCATATAGGTCAAGTTTCATGGGACATATGTTTCAATGGCTCTATCTGTATTTTTTTTTTCACTAACCTCAATTTGGTAACAAAGCCACTGACTATTTAATAAACTGTTTTAACTCAATAGTATACTAAAGAAGCTAATTTTTCTAATAATTAAACCCAGTTATTGAGGTACAATGGCTCTCAATGAGCTTTAAGCAACTTCATAAAATATTTTAACACACCTTACTTTGTGGTATACAGAGGGTCCCTATTTTATTAAAATAAATATGTTTATCTACTCCTCATTTTCTCTTCTGGTAGAGAAAGTTTTTCTCCTAAAGGAAACTTTGACTAATTTTAACAGTTGTACATATTTAGTAAAATATACACAATTTAGTGCCTTAGAAATCATTTGTCAAATGGAAGTTCAAACCTAAGGACACTTTTAAAATGGAAAACATTGTTTATACAATACAGTGTGACTACATTATGGGTATCAATTTATCATAATAGGAATCATCAAAATGAAGTAGAAATATTGCATCTACTGTAAAATAATCAATTCCGGTTTTCTTTATATTTCCACTGGAAAGACTTCCTTTTAAGAAATATTTCTCAAATAAGAAAAATAGTTTAAAAATGTACTGAGAGGTTATTGTTCAAGTTACTCTACCAGAGTGTTGAAATAAATAAGGAAAGCAAGATAACACAATAGTAAATATATACCTAAGTCAATCATTTTTCTGAGCATTCACGACACATGCCTCTGCACTGTTTTAGTCCATTTGATAAAATAAGAAAGGGGAGTACTAAACACTGGGGTCTATTGGGGGGAAAAGGGGAGGGCCAGTGGGAGGGGGAGGTGGGGAGGGATAGCCTGGGAAGAAATGCCAAATGTGGGTGAAGGGGAGAAGAAAAGCAAAGCACACTGCCATGTGTGTACCTACGCAACTGTCTTGCATGCTCTGCTCATGTACCCCAAAACCTATAATCCAATAAAAAATTTAAAAAAAAAAAACAATTATAAACAGAGTTCTTCCATTATATGCCTTACTATTAATACATTAGTTTCTTGTTTTAATCCTTTCAACCTATTTTTAGTACAAATAAAGTCTGAGTTTTTATATCCACTTGAGTGATGCTTGGTTTCTTCTAGGGGAAGAAAGTACCCATAGGAACAAATAAACCAGGAAACAGCCTGAAATCTCTTCACTTTTATAGCTGTTATACAATAAATGATTTTCTAAAAGAGAAAATATAGCTGATTATAGGAGAATTTCCATTATCATGGCAAGCAATTAGTCTCAAATCATCTTCAGCTTAGCTAAGAGCCACATCTCATGGAACCAAAATGGGAGTCTTAGACAAACAATCCAGGTAGAAGATCATTAAGATTCCCATTGTGACATGCCACATGAAACCTTGTAGATTGAAATTAGTTATCTGTTTTATTCTCTATTTTACACTATAGAAGATACCAACTCACTTTGCAAAGTCTCAGCTGTTACACACTTATGACTGAGTAGTGTGCTGCATATTCCATTAAGGAATTGCACATATTCTAATACATTTCATTAAAAAAGGTTGTTTGCAATGTTGTTTTCATTCTATTAAATAACACTATGTTTTTCATAATTCACTGTCCTGCCAGTGTGAAGGTCGAGTAAGGAAACTTGTTTTTAATTCATCTGTTTTTAAATGACAGAATGGAAATATTTTTATTTACTGGGTATAGTATAGGGACACAAGTGTTCGTCTCAGTTGGAACTACTTTTCACAAAAAATATATGGAATATTGTTCTAGCATGTGGGACTGTTCCTTTCTTTTGAACTACAATTTATTGTTCTTGATGATAGTGTGTTTTAGAGAATTATAGTTATTAAATTAATTCTTTGAAGGATGACATATTAAATCAGTTAACTAGAAATCTGATCTATGAAATGAAATACTCGCAATCAATTTGAATGGCTTTAAAAAATTAACAGAATAATTGTGTGGTTCTCAAATAGAAAAGTACTGTTCAGTTATTTTCTCAGAATTTTTTTTACATGACCTACAAACATTTCTTTGTCCTAAGAGACGCTAATTCGTCATGCATGAATTAAAGGATAAAATAAAAACCGAAGGTCCTTCAGTAAATAGACAAGTAAGAAGCACTTGTCTTCTTACTTGTCTAGACCAAAGGAACAATAACACTGAAGGCAAAAGCAAATATACATATTATCAATTATTCATGGTTTACAAAATTAGAAAGTATGCATTCAAGAGCTGAGCCTAGAGAGGCAGTTTTCATATTTTCACTTAAATTTATGTAGATTATGTTATTTGTCCAACTAAATTTAATAATGAATGTATTTATCTATAGAATGTGTTTTAATTACTTACTATATTTGTGTCATAATGATAGAGACTGCTGAAAAGAAAAAAATTACAAAAAATTTAAGGAATAGTTTTTAAAAAGTGATAATATAGTGAGTCAATTTAATGAATATTGATGTATAATGTATGATAAGAACATAGACATAGTCTTCTAACTAATGTGAAAAGTGGATTAAAAACTAAATTTTTTTAGGAGGCAAGTAATAAAAAAAAAGAGATATTATAGACCAAAGAAACAGCAAAGTTGAGGGTAAAAGCTTTCCATCCATCTATCTATCTATCTATCTATCTATCTATCTATCTATCTATCTATCTATCATCTATCTATCTATCTATCTATCTATCATCTCATACACACACACACATACTCAGACATTTGTATTCATGGTACACTAAAAACTATACCATAGACAATAGGAAGATGAGTTAGAAGAGAGTCTGGAGATTGTAAGGCTTGACTGGAGAAGAAAAGCCTAGTTTGATAAATTATGCATTTCACATTTAAAGATGCAGATAAATTAATGAATATTTTAAAAATTAGTGATAGTTTTAATTAAAAACCATTATAAACAAGGAAAACCAGTTAAAGTATAAAATTATTACGTTATAAATAATTACTACTAATAAAGACATATATATAGCTATCCATACATTTATATATGTATGGATATGTATATACACATATATATGTATAGATATATGTATAGCCCCCCAAGCCATACAACTTTTACCAGTGGAGGTTCTTGATTACAAGTTGTCCAGGGTCTGGTATGTTGAACAAATAATTGAACAAAATACACAAACAAAAGAATGAGAGAATGAAGGAAAGCAACAAAAGCACAGATTTACTGAAGGAAAAGTACATTCCACAGAGTGGGAGTGGGCTCAAACAAGTGTCTCAAGAGCCCCAGTTGCAAATCTTCTGTGGTTTAAAGACCCTTTAGAGGTTTCTTATTAGTTGCACACTATGTAATTGAAGACTTGGCTCATAACCAATCAGAGGCTGAAATGAAGTTATACATTATGCAAATAAAGAATTGTCCTGTGACCAATTAGAGACCTTAGTGAAGGCTCCCTTTCTCCAGACCCTATTCTCCTGCTTCACTTCCTCCTGAGAGCTGTGATCCCCATAAGCGTTTATGAAAAGCAGAAGGACTAAAAGATTTTCTTCTATGACTGCTTCATGCTGATTGGGGCACAGTCTCTACCTATTGGGGACCATGGAATGCTTACTCTGCTCTGTCTATTGAAGACAAAGTGACTTCTTGGGAGCTAGGGCTGGCATCTTCACCTGGAACTGGCTGAAAGCCCTACGGCATGATAATTTGAAACTTAATGGTTTCTAGATGAGAAGACATAAATTTGTTTAAAAGATTTAACAAATATGGTTCAAAAATCAATGCAAGTATAATTATTAATAATGGGCCAGCTAAGGGAAGAAGCCATGAAGCTCAACTAAGTTCCTTTTACCGGGAGCCCCATAACTCAGACAGCTGTTGTTATATTTTAGAGACCTGGTGAGTAAATTTTGTCTGACAGCTCCTACTAATTCTGATTGGTTGACATAAAAATAACATTCTTCTTCTAGGAAAAGTATAAGCCACTTCTTTTCAGCAGTTAGGAGATCCAGTCCCTTTCTGTTTTGTAAAAAGTGACTATTGTCAAGGAGTCTATCTGATTTCATAAGGTGATAATATTTTGGGCAATATCTTCTAAGCTGTCTGAAATATCGTTGGACAAGTGTTGGTAATGAGGCAGGGTAATTGGATGCCCACTAACTCCTGATCCTACTCATCCAGTTATTCCTAGCCCTACCAAAGGATTATGAGTTAGATGTCTCATTTGTGCCAGGTGGTTGCAGTAGAGACTAGTTATTGTGGAAGATATATTGATTTGGTGCGCTAAATAAACAAGTGGACAGGTCCCAGTTCAATTGACTGGTATGCATAAGTAGAAACTCGATCCACATAGGAAAAAGGCTTATTGTTTTTCAAGACAAAACTTTTTTCTTTATGGTGAACATATGAGTTAGATTGTTGTTTTCACTGTCTCCCAAGTGTTTAAGGTCCCTGCTAAGGTGGCCCCAGCTAACGGCTTGAAAGGGCCTTAGGAAGTATCTGGAATTGCCCCGGCAATTTTGCTTTCCCAGTGGAGGTAGTTAGGCTTAGTATCCACCAGCAACTACCAAGAGGTATTTTTGTACTGGGGAACAAAAAGGCAACTATATCTCAGGATTAGTACAGTCTTCCTAAAGGAAAATGTGAACACAGCTAGCAGATCTATCTTGACAGTATTTATACTGTACACTATGAAATGCCCATAACTAGCGATGGTTTCTAAGAAAACTGTACAAGTTTTCTAAATAATGGAGCCTGGGTAACTGCATGGCTTACAGGATCATGTGAGATATTAATCTCTAGGGTGTAGCTTTTAAGCCAGTTAATTAAAGCTCCTTTATATTAAAATCACACATACAACACTTGTATACAAGAGAAGTTACCGCAGTTGTAATTGTCCTTTCCCATTTTCTCAAACTTATCACAACATCCACAGGCCATCTATGACAATGGTTGGACTTTCTGACTCATCCGATAGTTCCCTCTTTCCTAAATAATTAGTCATTCTACTTTAGAACAAGAATTTGCCATACTAGATCCTCTCTCATATAATATTTATTTTCCTCATAACCTTCCTTATCATAAATACATATTCACAACCATAACTTTCTCTATATTTTTTTCCCCTAATAAACTAGTTTCTGATGCTTTCAAAAGTCAAAAAGGTCAGGTAACATGATGCAAAACAGAGCAGAGCCTGAGATTTTGAGAGGGACCTGTCAGTTTATAGTTCTTCGGGTTCCATGAGGAAAACAATTTTCTCCTAAAATAATGTCTGTGGTGCCTTCTGTTTTTTTTTCAAGGAGTCCCCGGCTGTCAGAAATTACCTTAGTTCTTCTCATGTGGGCATCAAGAGTGGCAAGAAGAAAGACTGAGGAAATAATCCAGTGAACTGAGAAGAAAAGCAAACAAGAACTTAGTACTATCCCCATTGTAAAGATGGATAAATGGAGGCACGATGCAGTTTAAATATTCATTTTCACATAGAGTTAGCCTCCGCAGCTCACTCCTTTAACCATCCTGTAATTCTCACTGCTCTCTGCCCAGTCACTGATGCACTTGGTTGTTAGCTCATGATGCACTTCATAGTTTTCCTTCCCCCTTAGGAGCTGGTTTATTTTTCGCTCTACAGGTGTATAATTTAACAATTCTGAATGTGTTGGATTCTAACCCTATATATCTCAGATTTTATTAATATTACTGAATCTTAAAGGGGGCTAATAATGTCTTTAATCCTTACAAATGTTAGCCAACCAAAAAAATACATAAGGTTAAACAGTATTCAGATTGTTACATGCTTTAGAACATTGAGGCAATGTGTTGAGAACCACACCTAAGAGATGGCAATCAGTCTACTCTGGACAAAAATTTAGAGAATGTCTCTTCAAAATAAACTATCTAGTGGTATTGATATGTATTCTTACATATATTAACAGTATTTTACATGCTTATAACCTTAAAGATAATTTTAAAATATCAAAATTATAGGCCTTATAAACTTTTCTTTGGGTTTGAAAATAATAACATATAGATTATTGTTTATTTAAAGTGTCTATAAAACATATAAGTTTCTAGATAGAGCAATCACTAAAATAAAAGAGTTCATACTGAAAGCAGTAATACTAGGAATAAAAGAAGGCTTAACACTACCTTCCAAAAAGGAAGGGTCCAGATTGGTATTTTCTAAAGGTTTTCCAAGCCTGCAATAAAACATGGCCAGATTTTCCTCCTTGCCTGTGTAACCCCCTTTACTTTATTGTAATCTACTGTCTTATTCTTTTTCATTCCTCCAATGAAAGCCCCGAGAAATCTGGACTGCTTGTCCATTTCCACAGGGATGTTACAGTACCAATTAGGATCAATAGTGGGGACTGTGTCCGAACCCGGGTAATTGCCCTTAGGGTTTTGGGTGAATAAACTGTCTGATTATCAGTGGACAGTCTCAAAGATTCGTTCCTGAGGCTGAGGCAGGTGAATCACTTGAGACCAGGAGTTCAAGACCAAGTTCGCATGGCCAACATGGCGAAACTCCATCTCTACTAAAAATAAAAAGTTAACCAGATGTGGTGGCATGTGCCTGTAGTATCAGCTACTCTGCAGGCTGAGGCAGAAAAATCACTTGAACTCAGGAGATGGAGGTTGCAATGAGCTGAGATTGCGCCACTGCACTCCAGCAGAGGCAACAGAGTAAGAACCCATTTAAAAAAAAAAGTTCCTCTTTCAAGGAGGTGCAGCAGGTTGCTAAAATGAATTGAACATCTTTCCATGAGAGATCAAAGGCTAAGTTCAAAGTTCAGAACCCATCTTCAGATTTTCTGCGGTTCTCTGAATAGCTTCCCAGCTTTTCTTCACGTGGTGTATGTCAGTTAGGGAGAAGGGGCTTGCACTTAAACTGACCCCTCAGCTCCTGCTACTTCCCTAAATATGATTAGACCCCAAAATGCTAAGGACTCTATTTCCCTGACAACAAACAAACAAAAAAAAAACCCAAACAAACAAAAAACACGCCAGTCATGAAGAGTCCTGGTACCATGCTTGCTACCAGCTTTCAGGGCCCAATATTCCTAGGCTTCTATCAGTCCCTAGGAGGTCCACTGGCATAAGAAAATTCTTAGTTGGGGAGAAAAATTTTGAATTTTTTATATTCTATGCGGAGGCAAAACTCCAATAGCGTATAAATTAAAAACTTAATCCTAATCACAATTTTAATTTTTGAAAGAAAAACTGAAGATCTCATTGTGAATTCAGAGTGGCAGAATCAATTGATCTAGGAAAATGAAGCTGAAAAAATTCTCACATGCTCATATAACATTTCTCCCTTACTTCTAAATATTTTTGATTGAAAGAGCATACTAAAAATCTATTGGCAGGCTCTTCTGTGTCTTAAAAGTTGTTATTTTGTTGGCCTTTTATATATTTCTAGTGAATAATTTGTATGTGATGTAGAAGTAGATGCTTTTAAACGAAAACCTCAGTCCTGTTTCAATAAGGACAAATAATTTATGAGCATGTCTTTTGTGCGTGGCAATATTATAAGCCCTAGGGATAAACAAGATTCCTACTTTTATAGAGTATATATTCTAGCTTTGAGAGTCAGAGAAGAAAATACACACACAAACACACACACACACACACACACACACACACACAGAAGTTTAAAATAATTTTTAGCAGAGGTAGGTACTATTTAAAAAAAAACGAAAATGAAAATAAAAATAAAAACCAAACAAGTGACATCATGGAGAAGGATGGAGAGGGGAAGTTGTAATTGGGTTGTAGTGGTATCAGAATATCTTATTAAAAATAGTTTTTAAGCAGAAACCTGCATAATCTAAAGAAATCTTTGTAAAATACCTGTGGAAGAGAGAAGGGCAACTGCGAAAGCATAGAACAGAATTCAGGGTGCCTGGATTGTTGTGGAGAAGGTGAGGAGAAATAGGAGATAAGGTGAGATAGGCAGACCCTATATGACCCCAGATCACATAGAGTCTTGCAGGTATATATAAAGAGGTTACAGAGTTTAAGAAAATTAGTAACTGCATAAAATCTACAAGGTAGGATAAATGAAAGGACTCACAAGGGTCCACAGAATAAATACTGTAAGGATACAACAAAGCATTAATCGTCCTTTTTTTGTGGGTGATAAGGTTATGTTTTCATTCCCTTTCATGATTTTCTATATATTACAAATATTCTAAAATAAAATGTTATATTAAAATTAGAAAACAATGTTACAAATAGGAATGTATACATAAAATGATTGTTAGCTATGAGTGCTAAAAAACTATTTTGTATATAACTTCTAAAGACTATTTAGGAAGTTAAATTTACCAATAATTTTTTCAAAATGAAATTAATTCTGCAACTCTGACAAATGTTTAGGCCTTTTAATCACCTCATTCACAATAAGATTTACATATCCCTGGACAATCTTTTCACAATGAAATTAATTTATCTGAAATTATTTATATTTAGCTAATCCAGGAGGATAAACAAGATACAATACGGAAAAATGACACTAATTTTATTATTTTAATGTAAACTAGAGTGATAAAACCTCAACTACAAATAGAAGAAAAAGCAAAAAGCATGCACACAAACTACAAACCTAGAACTTACCATACCTTGTAGTTTTGAAAAAGGTGCTGTCATTATGCTGAAGCTCACCTGCAGCTATTAAACATCCATCAGTCCCCTTTCGTCATTAAGATATGACCTTCACAAGCTCTGTAATGTGAAAATATTACTATCACTGCACCATAGGACATAATGTGATGATTTTGATACTGTTCTTGGTCCATATTAGAAAATGTTGTTGTTCAAATTACATCTTATAGTGGATTTCCTTTTGATACTAAAATTTCACATATGAAGGCAAAGAAAGGATTATGTTGGGAAGAGGACACCTTTGCTCAGCAATGTTACAGCTGATAACATTCAAATCAGTTGGAATATCTGGATCTCATCACTGTTTTTAGGATGCAATTTCTCTGCAATAAGATAATGATGACAATGCAATCAATGTAATCAAAGAATGAGCAATGTCTGGGCTCATGCATGCCTGATCATGTGCCCAGTTGTCTTAATTTTTGCAGTCATAATTTGAAGATGGTTTTCAGGTGATCACAATGTTACACCATGCACAATTTACACCCTCTTCAAGAGTTCAATGAAAACCAGTGTAATTCTTGCCAGAATCTTCTTAGAAGAACTCCAAACCATTTCATTTTAACAGCCTATTTAGAGATCTATACCAGATGGAATTCACCTTCATATTTTCTTTCCCAGAACATAGAAAGTGACAGTGGGAATGCTATTTTCTTTCACCTGGAGAGAAAAACTGATCAATAATATGTACTTACACTTTTATATTGCAATAACATTTAGAATCAATTATGCAATTAATTATGAAATATTCCTATAACTTTTGTTTATATAACCATAAAAATAACCTATTATAATACTGTATATATTTTTCTGATTGTTTGCCAGTGATACGCTTCTTAGCATACAGTGAGTACCAGTGATGTTATATTCTAGGACAAGCCCTTCAGCTTGATTCACTTTGATTCGATCTAATAAATGAGAATACAGTTGTTTATAATAAATCAAACATCTCCTTTTCCAAAATTACTGAAAACACCACTACAGTCAGAAGATGGTTCAAATCTTTAGCTTATGTTTCTCATCTTGCACATGTTTAGATAAATGGGACTATAATTAATAGTAATTCTTACTTTGTCAGGGACTACCACATAGCTGTGTCAAAAATATGATTTTATTATACATACATATCTCTAGGAGATACAGATATACACGTAGATGTTACTATAAAAAGTATATATATACATATATACACACACAAACACATGCACAACACTACACACACATATATGCATGCGTGCGTGCACGCGCGCGCGCACACACACACACACACACACTTTCTCTTTCTCTATGTATATATGGTTATGTAGGATAACCCCCACCAGAATAGTATACTTTATTTTCGAACTGCTCTGGAGTGTAGTTTCCTATCATTAGATTACCTTGGCACAAAGAACATGATTTTCTGTATTCAAGTTCAAAGAAATAATTTACTGATCCTCATTTTTGCAGCCATTAAAAATAATGGCATCTTGTCCTCCTGCTAATAGTCTGAAAATCTTATAATTTCTGCAGGGAGTGTTGTCAGTGAAAAGAAAAATTGAGTTTGATAACATATTAAAATTAATTGTTTTTAAAGATTATCTGCCCATGTAGCTTTTATATTGATGCTTATTTTTTATAAAAAGAAATATGTTAATTCTTATATCACTTTTTCCATGGGGCAGCTCAACTATATCTTACAAATTAAATAAAATAATTTGGGGGTCATTTCATAGCTTTTATGTCTCTCTTTACAGTGTTAATGCTTTCCTCTAGCCTTATGAACCAATAAAAATTAGTCACAATTACTGTTTGAATGTCTGTTTACCTACCTATATCTGCATTTTTTTCTATCTTTTTATGATTGTTCTCCTTCTTCTGCGTTATATTTTCCTTCTTTTTATCCTTGGTAATATTAGATTGTATGTAATTCATGTTATTAGTAAGCGTAAAAAAGGAATCTAGTTTCATTTTTTATGGATGACCAGGGACTTGTCCTAACATTTTACTGTCTTTAGACAGATAACATGCCACTGTCTTATTAAGGATTATCATGATTTTTTAATTGATAATCATATAAAATTCATTTTCCTGTGCTGTTTGCTATCTAATATCTACAAACCATTGCTTAACATATACATTTGACTTAGTTATGTTAGGCAAGGAGGCAAATCCACTTCCTATTGTTCCCAAAAATTTGTATCAGTAACAACATGGAAATGACAGTGAAATAACCTTGGGAGACCAAATTTATGTCACACTACCAACATTTTATTTTGTTCCATGAAAACTTTACAATCACTATTCATCATCAACATTATTAGAATGAAAACAAGGCTTTCAATCTCAAAAATATTTATGTAACTTATAATTTTAACATTTATAAAAAAAATTTTCACAGAATCAGGTTATTTAGCATAGATTAATATTTGATGATTACATAAGTCTTTCAGTGATATGAGACCACAGACTATGTTATTTATCTCTGTAGGCCAGTGCATACCCAATGATAGTAAAATGTAGATTTTCCAAAACTTTGTTGAATAAATATGCACATGATAAACAGAATTTAAACTTTTAAGTTACATTTTAATTCTAAGGGATAATTGGATACTGGATACATTTTAGAAGAATTTGTAAAACTCACTAAGGTGTCAGCCTTCATTTTCTTATTGAGAGAAGTAGGGGTCTCTAAAACTCTTCCAAGCTCCTCAAGCTTCATCATTTGTGATATGTTAATTACTTTAATCCATACCATTTTCAAGTTTTGCTCAACTATTTGAGGTGATAAGTTATTTTTTAGGTTATAGATTTTATATACTATACTGTGTATTTTAATAAATAGCATAGATAAATGATAGTTATCAAGTTAATTTGATTTTCATTAAGTAAACACGAGTCACATCTTTAAAATGATCTAATAAGTGTTAAGATATTTACATAATATTGACAAAAAAATTGCTCATGCTTTAAGACAGTTTTCTGAAAGGATGCCACCTAGGAAGACAATAGGGAAAAAAAAGAGAATCTTAATTAATCTAATTCCAAAGTAAAAGGAGGCTCATGTACAAGGTATTTGGGAAAACGAATTCACCATTACAGATTCCAATATATAGCTGTATATATGAGATACCTGGAATGTAAACCAAATCATGGAAGTTGTTTTCTGGAACAGAAGAAAATGTTGTACATTGTACCTATGGAAAAATATAAAATCTTAGTTCTCAGAAAATTTGCCTCATTGCCCTCTGATGATTTGTGCCTGCCCAATCCATAGGTCCCCAGTTAAGAATGATTCTATCATCTATACATCAGAGGAGAAAGTGCCTGTGTGCTATGTTGATAGTCATTCTAAACAAACATTTATACAGTTGAGATCAGAGATAGAAAATGTCAGTTCCAAATCCACCCATGATGGCACATATTCCAGACAGATGACAAAGTCTGGCTAAGGTTATAAAAGCTTGTGAAATACTTGAATCATATTTTGCAACCCTTGAAAGAATTCAAGTTGGAGATTAGCAGAAACCAGGCTCAGTTCTCTTCATAATCCCCTTTATCTGTCTTCTAGCCAACAAAATGAAAACCTTAAAGCCAAACTGACAAATAGAGTGTGAAGGGCCTTCTCTTGCATTTAAAAAAAAGACTGAGACTGCTATATGTAGAAAATTGTTTTTAATATTAGCATTACTTTTGTTGTTGAGGTTAATTGTAGACATAATGAAAAACAAATCTTAAATAACAATATTCTGATGAATTATTGATTAGAGGTAACAGTAAATTAACTCACTTAATGTTACATTAAATATGTAACATAGACACATGCACAAAGAATGTAAATCAGTATAAAGATAAATAACTCTGTGACACAGAAATTTATTTAAGCCCTGGCTATTCGATCCATTCGGGTATAAAAGTATTCAGGGACAGTCCTTCTGCTAAAAGTGAAACTGAGAAGTCAATGAAAACAAAGGAGAGACGATGCTAGTTAGTTTGATATAAAGTACAAGATTGTTCTGTGCATATGGGAACTCTGTGAAGTTGAATTTAGAAAAAAGCAGTAATAGTGATGGTTTAAACTATGTTCTAATAAAAAATAAATATTTCAAGATAGATGCAGAGTATAGTTAATGCAAGATTTGTATTATTTAAGTTAGTGTTATACCAAAAAAAAAAAAAAAAAAAAAGTAGACCAAGCATCAGGTCAATATAACTGGCTGAGCTGATGCTAGAAATTCCTTCTTCCATCTAAACACATAGTTAAGGTGACAAAAATATGGCAAAAAAAAAAAAAGAAATTAGCAATTTGGGGTTAATTTAAATAAGAGTTAAGTATAAAAAATAGTAAATAGGACATAGGTAAAACAAAGTAGAACTAGAATATCAGAAGATCAGAACTCAGATTTAAAATTGCTGGGTCCTATGTACTGTTTAGAAAGAAGATGAGATACTTAGTTTTAGAATTTATAAAGTTAGGAATCCACATTGAATTTTTTTGAAAATACTAGACATGGATATTGCATATAAGATTCATAAAAATTATAGAACACCCTGGAATCAACCCAAATGCCCATTGATAATAGACTGGATTGGAAAAATGTGGCACATATACACCATGGAATATTATGCAGCAATCAGAAATGATGAGTTTGTGTCGTTTGTAGGGACATGGATGAATCTGGAAAACATCATCCTCAGCAAACTGACACAAGAACAGAAAATGAAACACCGCATATTCTCACTCATAGGTGGGTGATGAAAAATGAGAACACATGGACACAGAAAGGGGAGTACTAAACACTGGGGTCTATTGGGGGGAAAAGGGGAGGGCCAGTGGGAGGGGGAGGTGGGGAGGGATAGCCTGGGGAGAAATGCCAAATGTGGGTGAAGGGGAGAAGAAAAGCAAAGCACACTGCCATGTGTGTACCTACGCAACTGTCTTGCATGCTCTGCTCATGTACCCCAAAACCTATAATCCAATAAAAAATTAAAAAAAAAAAATTATAGAACACAAAAATAAAGAACACTTTTTATTTTTTAAAAAGATAATAAAAATGTATTTAAACAAGAAGAATGCAGGAA